ACTCCAGGCTCACTTCAGGTTCTCCCAGATCCTGAATCCAAGGGAAGAGAGTATCTTTCCTGAGAGTTGACCAAGATCCCAGGAAGAAACCATGGCTGGCATCACATGCCCACCCTGGTCAAGGGTAGCCATCAAAAATCAACACAAACTTTGACCTAAGACAATTGAAATGTATTCTGACAGTTTGGAGGTCAGAAGTCTGAAATGGATTTCACTGGGTCAAAATCAAGGTGTCTGCAGGGCCATTTTCCCTCTGGGGGCTCTAGGAACTGGGAGAACCTATTTATTTGTCCTTTCTAGCTCCTGGAGGTGCTTACATGCCTTGACTCGCTGCCATTTCTCCATCTTCCAAGCCAGGAGTGTATAATCTTCCAATCTCTCTGACTCTGACCTCCTGCTTCCTCTTATAAGGACCCTCATGATTACCTGGTGTCCACCCAGATGATCCAGGGAAATCTCCTCATCTCAAGATCTATAACTTAACTATACCTGCAAAGTCCCTTTTGCCATGGAAGGTCACATACACATAGGTTCTGGACACTAGGATGTGGCAGGAGGACAGGGACCATTATTTAGCCAACTACAGTAGCCAAGGAGTGGAATAATCTTAATGGTCAGCATGGGTCCTGTGAGCCCTCAGGGCCCACCTCATCCAAATCTTAAGACTGGAGCAGGATTAGAGTGGAAAGAGAGGTGGAGACTCTAGGAGGCTGCTAGGCCAGCTTCCAGAAGCCCCAACTAGGTCAAGAGGCCATGACATCTACTAGGCACCTCATAGTGGCATCATGCAGAGCAATGACACAGAGGGACCCTGCCTGGACTATGGGTGGGCTCCACCTCTTACCTCTCTGCACCTGTTTGTCACCAGTTCTCTCCCTGGTATTAGTTATGTGCCCAGCACAGCACCTGAAACAGGGCAATGCCTTCTTTCCCTTCCTTTTGCATGTCGGTGATGTGAACCAACAGTTTCTTTTCTCAGTAGCTGAACACTCTTTTCTGATTTCTTTCCTTTTTCTTTTTCTTTTTTTTAGGACAAGGTTTTGCTCTGTTGCCCAGGCTGGAGTGCAGTGGTACGATGTTGGCTCACAGCAGCCTCAAACTGTGCTTGAGCAATCCTCCTGCCTCTGCCTCTCAAGTAGCTGGGACTACAGATGTGTGCCACCACCATGCCCGACTAATTTTTAAATTTTTTGTAGAGATTGGGTCTTTCTTTGTTGCCCAGGCTGGTTTCGAACTCCTGGGCTCAGGCAATCCTCCTGCCTTGGCCTCCTGAAGTGCTGGAATTGTAGGTGTGAGCCACTGCAGCTGGCCTCTCCCAATTTCTGTTATGCTTTCTTCAGATTTTCACTTCTGTGCATTGGTAGTCAATATGTGGATTCACAAGTAAGTTTCAGATCAATGAGGATTTGGAGTAAAGTAGAAACGTGCTGCTTGGTTGGCCACATCATTCTGGGGCAAGCTCAGGGATTCAGCCTGTTGCAGGCAAAAGCCTTCCCTGTACTGAACCAGTTTTTATTCCACTCAACACACCCCAGATGAAAATATTTTGGCTCAGGAGAGCAGCGCAATTACTCATGGCCTCATTTCCCTCCTTCTGTGGGAGTGGAAGCCAACATCAGATGATTTAAAACAAAGCAAAGGAAAAACCACGTTTTTGACATCAGGGCTAATTTTCCTGAATGTAAATGCTATTGTACCAAAGAAAAAATGAAAACAGCTTGACCAGCCCCGGAATTAATTTATTTCTGTGTCCCAAATGCATAGCACTTAGTAGAAAGAGCAAGGTATTTGGATGTCTGCTCCCACAGTGGCTATTTGCTGATTTACGTGGGGGAAGTGCCTTGCATATCAAGACAATCCAACATCATCATCATCGTCACTGTCATTGTTATTATCGTCATCATTATCAGTGTCATCATTGTCATTGTCATTATCATCAATGTCATTATCATCATTGTCATTGTCATCATTGTCAGTGTCATCGTTGTCATCATTGTCATAGTCATCATAATTGTCATTGTTATTTTCATCATCACTGTCATTGTTGTCATTACTGTTATCATTGACATCATTGTTATTGTCATCATTGTCAATGTCATCATCACCATCATTGTCATAGTCATCATTGTCATTGTTATTATTTTCATCATCACTGTCATTGTCATTACTGTTATCATTGACATCATCATCATTGTTGTCATCATTGTCAATGTCATCATCATCATTGTCATAGTCATCATCATCATTGTCATTATGTCATCATTGCCATTGTTGTCATCATCATCATTGTCATAGTCATTGTCATCATTGTCATCATTGTCATTATGTCATCACCATTGTTGTCATCATTGTCATAGCCATCGTCATCATTGTTATCATCATCACTATCTATCATCAATGTCATTGAGGCCATCACACCTGTCACGGCAGTGAGGATCAGGTCAGGAAATGCACCCAAGGGTTTCCTGTGCTGTCAAGTGCCCCTCATGTCTCAGGCTCTGTTGCAAATTAGAAAGTAAAAAGTCAAATTATTCTTATTTGCAGACAATATGATCTTATATGTAGAAAATCCTAAAGACTCCACCAAAAATCTTTTGGAATTGATGAATGAATTTAGTAAAGATAAAAAGTTAACATATAAGAGCAGCAGCATTGCTATACCTGAACAATAAAATAGCTAAAAGGGAAATCAAGAAGATAATGCCATTTACAATAGCTACAGAAAATGAAATACGTAGGAATAAACTTAAGAAGTGACTGACAAAAAATTGAAGGGGAGAAAAACAAATGGAATGACATCCCATACTCATGGATCCAAAAATATTGTTAAAATGATCATAGTACCTAAAGTAATCTACAGGTTAAACACAACCCCTACCAAAATACCAAGGGCATTCTTCACAGAATTAGAAAAATCTTTAACTTTGTACAGAACCAGAAAAAACTCTGAATAGCCAAAACAATCCTGAGCAAAAGCACAAAGCTGGCATTATGACACTTCAAAATATACTACAAAACTGTAGTAACCGAAGCCTCTTCCATCCCTGCATGTCGAGGATGAACAGAAATGAACAGGCAGCGGATGCCTGGCCTTCCAGAAGTACCAGGCTGGCTGCAGATACGCAGTCAGCATGCAGACAGACGGGACACCAGCAAATATTCCAGAGAGGAAGGTTATGAAGCCCCCCACATGAGAGACCAGGTGGGTTCAAAAGCCATCCAGCCATATCAGCTGAGCATGCGGTACTCAGAGGAGGAGTGTGGGCCTGACGTGGCGACATGAGACAGGGGCCTGCAGAGATGACGGCAGCTCCATGTGACGAGGGCCTGACGTGGCTGCGGCAAACTGACTGATGTGTCTGGACAGCAATTTGGCAAAATGTTTAAGGAGCCTTTAAAAATTCTTGCTCTTCCAACTAGTCATTCGAAGGAGGTGATGGAAAGGGGCTGATCCAAAATGCAGGAAAAAGAGGGATGACGAAGGAGATTATCCCAGGGTTGCTGATGGTGCCAAAAAAAAAAAAAAAAAAAAATAGGACCTACAGGCTCCACAGAGGATTCATAGCAGGTGTGGCAGATGACATTAGAAGGAAAACATTTCCATCGAATACTTCATAACATGCAAATGGCTATAAGGTTCCACTGAAAAGTCTAGCACAAAACCACATATACTGTAATATATGTAGTGTGTATACCTAAGCAACTTAGTGAGAGACGCCCTGGTGCCCCACTGAGTCTCACCTCATACAGCTGTTCACAGAGGCACTAGATGAAGGGAGACCCCTCTGTTTTCTGTGCCGACTATCAGGGTAGATAGCTGAATATTGACAAAGGTTACCTCTGATGAGCAGGATTTGGAAAGGGTTTTTTCTTCACGGTTTTCTCTATTTTCTACAATGAGCCTGTATTCTTTCTTTATTGAAAAAAGATCCAAAAGTCACTTATAAAATGAAGAAAACATTCGTCATGACAAATATTTAGTCACAATGCAATATTCAAAAAAGAAAATTGACTCATTCATTTTTGAGGGTAGTCGATTTTTAAAAAACCTATACACTGCATAAAAGTAGGTTGAAAACAGGCTGGGCACAGTGACTCACGCCTGTGATCCTGGAACTTTGGGAGGCCGAGGTAGGCGGATCACCTGAGGTCAGGAGTTTGAGACCAGGCTGGTCAACATGGCGAAACCCTGTCTCTACTAAAAATACCAAAAATGGACCCACTGTGGTGGCTTACACTTGTAATCCCAGCTACTCAGGAGGCTGAGGCAGGAGAATCCCTTGAACTTGAGAGGCGGAGGTTACAGTGAGCCAAGATCATGCCACTGCACTCCAGCCTGGGTGACAGAGTGAGACTTTGTCTAAGAAAAAGAAGATTGAAAACAGAAATGCCAAAATATCAGAGGGGTGACCACGGGCGGGGACCTCAGGTGATTTTGATGTTCTGTATCTTTCTGCATGTTTTCTAAACTTGCAAAAACATGGAAAATGTTCCCTGGAAGCAAAGCAGAGGGAGAGAATGGTTTCAACCAGGGCCAGGAGGCCAGTGAAGCCTCCTGGATGAGGTGGTGTTGAAGCTGGAAGTCAGGAATCTGGCTGGGACCACAGCTTGCAGACCACCCAGGGCCCAGCTCCTCTTGGGGTCTCCCCTCCCACGAAGGGGAGATGGGCTGCTTCAGATAAGTGGCTGCGAAACAGGTCACAGAGTTTGCTAGAAACAGGTGGAGGCCAAAGCCTTAGTGCAGGACCCTCCTAATCCTCCCTTCTCTAGGGCAGCCATGTGCAAATGGTCATCGAAAAGGACCCCCTTCCAGCAAACTGCACACAGCATCCTGGAAGTGGCTCTTGCCCGCCCAGGGCCCAGCTCTGGGTGTGGGGGGCCACCCACACTGCCCTGGGCCCCCAGGTGCTATGAACCCTGATCCTAATGCCCAGCACAGCGCCTGCCCCAGGGACCAGTGCCATGCAGTGGCGTGGGTAACCGTGTGTTCTCTTCCACAGCCTCACTGCCATGGACAGTGTGCCCCTCATCTGTGACTACGGCTCTGGCTTCAGCAAGGTGGGATTCGCAGGAATGGAAAGCCCAATGGGCGTGTTCCCCACTGTCCTCGGGAAACTTCGGCACGATGTGAGTGATGTTGGGGTCTCCTCCCTGTGGGGTGCTGCTCATCCAGAGGTGGCCTGCTGGCCCGGTCAGTCCCATCGCCTCTCCCACAGGGCGACCAAGGCAATCCCCTGAGCAGGGCAGGGCGTGGTGGGCGCGAACGTGCCTCCGTGAATCCAAGTCGGCAGCACCAGGCTTGGTACCACACAGATGGCCGGGCCACCTAGAGTCTCTGCCTCAGCCAGTCCGGGGTTGGGGATGGGGTGGGAAAGGCCTTGCCCCTCTCATGACTCCCAGCATGCAGCCCGCTCTGAGAACCACAGGCTTAGAGGGAGCAGTGACGTATAAATCAGTAAAGTGGACACGTGAGAAGTCAGTCTTACTGCCCGTCTCCCATCTCTGGCTCTTCCCACCTTCGGAGAGGTACGGACGCAGGGAAGGAGCAATTCGCCTTTAGGATAAATGGGAGTCCATTAGGGTGAGCGGCAATGGACACTCAGCCTCTGTGACAGGAAGGCAGTAGGAGGGCGGGTGGCGACCGGGGCACAGGCCCTCCAAGAGGTCCGTCTCTGACATGCCAGCAAGTGGATCCCTCATTGCCAGATCTTCCTGCGTTTCAAGGGAATTTAGAAACGCAGGCGTTTCTATTGTGGTAAAGTATACACAATGTAAAGATGTGTTAACTGCACAGTTCAGTGGCATCAAGAACATTCGCCACCGTCTATCTCCAGTACGTTCTCATCCTCCCAGACAGAAGCTCTGGCCCCATTAAAAACCAGCTGCTCATCCCCTGCCCCGGACAACACAGTCGCATCGTAAACGAAACTCGGCGAGTGAGCCTGAGCCCGGCCACATTCCCAGTAGGGAGGGAGATGCCCCTTCTCCCCGAAGAGGAACCGCCTGCTCCGAGAGGTGACTTCTCGAATCCACGTGGTGACAAAGTGGTGGTGACAAGACCCCCAGTGCACCTGCGTTCCCAGCCCATGCTCTGGATCGTGGAGCTCATCCTCCGGAAGTTCCAGTCGTCCGTGGCAGGGAGCAGTGTCGTGACACGGAAGATCTCAGGTGTCACAGGACCTCATGGCGATCACTCTTGCGCTTTGCAGCACTTGGAGCAAATTATTGGCAATGTTTCTAATTATCCAAGATACACTGGCTCCCAGAGCTGTGACAGAGGAGGAAATCTCGTCTCCCTCTCCAAGAGGATGAAATGCACGTGGCTCCTGGGAACCAGTGGATTTCCTCCTCGCTGTCCAAGTGGCAGGCGTCATAGCAGGGACTGCCCTGGCAAATCGCAGGCCTCTGCACTCGAGCTAGACAACCAGCTTACCACTTGGAGATTGTGGTGCTCAGTGGTTAAGAGCTGGGGCTGCAGGGCCGGGGAGACTGAGGCTCCGATCTCAGTCCTGTCCTCAGCACATGCCTGACTCAGGGCAAGGGTGCTGCTGTGGCAGAGGCATCTCTTTTGCATAATATGATTGTCCTCATAGATGTATCTCATAGATTCAGCCTGAAGGTTAAATGAGATGAGTGAATGCATGTTTGGCACAGTTTCTGGCCTATGGGGAAGGTTCAGCAATGACAACAATGGCAGTGATGATAATAATGACTAACATATTCGTGTATTTGCTTAGAACAAACAACAGAAATGTGGCCAGGCGCGGTGGGTCACGCCTGTAATCCCAGCACTTTGGGAGGCTGAGGTGGGTGGATCACCTGAGGTCAGGAGTTTGAGACCAGCCTGGCCAACATGGCAAAACCCTGTCTCTACTAAAAATACAAAAATTAGCTGGGCGTGGTGGTGCACACCTGTAATTCCAGCTACTCTGGAGGCTGAGGCAGGAGAATCGCTTGAACCCGGGAGGCAGAGGCTGCAGTGAGCTGAGATCACACCACTGCACTCCAGCCTGGGTGGCAGAGTGAGAATTCATCTCAAAAAAAAAAAAAAAAAAGAAAAAGAAAAAAAAGAACAACAACAATCCCTTGGCTGCCTCTGTCTTCACATGGCCTCCTTCTCTTTTTCCTTTTCTGTCTCAAATCTCCTCCTGCCTGTCTCTCAGAAGGACACTTGTCGTTGGATTTGGGGCCCATCCAGGTAATCCAAGGTGATGCCCATCTTGAGATTCTTAACTATCACTTCTGCAAAGACACTTTATCCAGATAAGGTCACCTGAGACTCCAGGTGGACATAATTGTGGCGGGGGGTCATCATTCAACCCACTGCAGTTACAACGTGGAATTTCATCTCAGCTCTCAGCGCCTCCTCCAGGGAAGGGGCCTTATCCTTGGAGTATGAATTGACTTAGAGGGGGTGCATTAGGGAGCGTCTGCTGAGAGCAAGGCTCTCCCCTCTGAATCCACCCCAGCTAGGCTGTAGGCACGATCACTGTCTCCCATCACCCCCGGATGAGACTGTCCTAGTTACAGGAAAACAAGCTCAGGGATCCCGCTGATTCTACGTTGTGGTGAGTTATATAATTATTTCATTATATGTTACAATGTAATAATAGTAGAAATAAAGCACACAATAAATGTAACACACTTGAATCATCCTAAAACCATCCCCTGCCCTGCTCAGTGCAAAAATTGTCTTCCATGAAACTGGTCCCTGGTGCCAAAAAGGTTGGGGAACGCTGACCTAGATGGCAAAACACAAGATCACAGCAAGAGGAAAATTCTTCGCCAAAACAGAATGAGTGACCAAGATGAATTATGGAGCAGCAGACTGCTCTGCGGAACCACAGCAGATTGGCTCTTGATCTGGATTTATTTTCATGGGCAGGTGGGAGTAAGTTTCTGTCTCTGAGAGAGGTCACCTTTTGTCCTAGATGTAAACTCCATGGCCCTTCCCACAAGCTCAACGCAGTGCCCTTAACTCCCAAGTCAAGAAGTCACAGCCACAGAGACCCAGGGTGTCCCTCGGGGCTCCCCCACCCCCATGCCCCTTCCAGGGCTTGAGCCTGGCAGCCAAGATGGCAGTGAGACCCCTCGTAGGAGGACTTGTGAGAACAGAGAGGCAGGATGAAGGCGTTGCCCAAAGTCATTGGGTCCCTTCCAAGTAGAGCAGCCGCTCTGACCCACAGGCCTCCTGACGAAAGGACACCAGGCCCAGCTCTGTCCCTCTTTTTATTTCAAACAGCAACTTCGAACCGGAAAAAACATTGTTCCTTCTGCACACCCATGACTTTGTCCACCACCCACCCACCGCACTTAGATGTGGTGGCTGAGAAACGTTCGAGGAGGTGGCCGCAGTGACAATCCCTCCTACCATGAAGCCAGCTTATGAAACGCATTCCTGCTGGTGGGCTTCATCGACTTGATCCTCCAGCAGCGCCATGGCGAGGTGTGAGGAAGAGAGGTCATTGTTCCCATTGCACAGAGAAGAAGATGGAGGCTCAGAGAAGGAGATAGAGGCTCAGAGAAGGAGATGGAGGCTCCGAGAAGGAGATGGAGGCTCAGAGAAGGAGATGGAGGCACAGAGAAGGAGATGGAGGCTCAGAGAAGAAGATGGAGGCTCAGAGAAGAAGATGGAGGCTCAGAGAAGGAGATAGAGGCTCAGAGAAGGAGATGGAGGCACAGAGAAGAAGGTGGAGGCTCAGAGAAGGAGATAGAGGCTCAGAGAAGGAGATGGAGGCTCCGAGAAGGAGATGGAGGCTCAGAAGAAGGTGGAGCTCAGAGAAGGAGAGGAGGCTCAGAGAAGAAGATGGAAGCTCAGAGAAGAGAGATGGAAGCTCCAGAGAAAGGAGAGAGGCTCAGAGAAGAAGGTGGAGGCTCAGAGAAGGAGATGGGTGCTCAGAGAGAGAGAAGGAGATGGAGGCTCAGAGAAGGAGATGGAGAGCTCCGAGAGGAGATGGAAGCTCAGAGAAGAAGATGGAGGTAAAGAAAAGGAGATAGAGGCTCAGAGAAGGAGATGGAGGCTCAGAAGGAGAAGATGGAGGCTCAGAGAAGGAGATAGAGGCTCAGAGAAGGAGATGGGGGCTCCGAGAAGATGGAGGCTCAGAGAAGGGACATGACTTTCCCCAGGTCTCATAGCTGGTGATTCTCATCCCAAGTCCAAACCTCTTCTGCTAAAGAGACAAACTCCTAAGATAGAAAAGCTCTGTGCAGGTGAGCTGTGGCAGCCTGGAGAGGGGGCCTCACTCTGAAATCACTGCTCCATTGCATCTCTGCACCATTGCACTCTTGCACCCAGCATCATGGCACCACTGACCCACTGCACCATGGCATGGTTGTTCCACCGCATGCACCATTGTACCATGGCACCATGACATCATTGCACCATGGCACTATGATGTCACTGCATTGTGGCACCATGAGGTCATTGCAGCATGGCACCATTATGTCACTGTGGCGCAGCACCATTGCACTAAGGCCATCCTTCCTACTTGCTGCTCCCAGCCAACAATGGAGGATGGCAATGACACCAAGGCAAGTCAAGCCCATTTCTGGGAAACCCAGCACTCCTGTGATAAATGAACCTGGCTCAAGAACTCTCCAACAACCTTGCAAAGCCTTCCCTTAGACAGCATGGTGGCTAAGGTCACCCACCCAATCTGCTTCCCTTTTTCCTGCACCCAGGCTCAGACTTGGACAGCAGCTTGTTGTCTCTTCGATCTTCATCCTGCTCTCACCCCACTGTCCCCTTTGTGTGCGCATTCCCTAATCACATCCTTGCACCTTTCATTCCATCCTGGTGTCTGTTTCTCAGTGGACCCAGATGAACACATGGACCATCACGTAAAATCACTTCTGAATGATGGAATGGATAGCTTAATCTGCCATGAAAGTAGCCAGGTTTATCTTCCTAAAAAATAACAGCAGTTGAATTACATCACAGACCTTTTCCCGGTCAACCTTCCAAAGCAAATATGGAAGCAGTGACGATCCCTCCTACCATGATGTCAGCTTATGAAATGCATTCCTGCCAGTGGGCTTCATCGACTTGACCCTCCAGCAGTACCGTGGCATTCCTGGTGCATCTCCCCATACCTCTCCTTCCTCAGCAGCCTTTCTCCTTGCTGTTCCCAGTTTCCTCATCTAAAAATTGGACAGGATGAAGTTCCTAGGAACGACTCCCCAGGTGCACTCTTACCTTGCAGGTACTTTGCTAAAACCTCTTAGCGGCCATTTCTGAAACAGTTCACAGGGCTTGGGGAGGTCCTGGATGCCAGTGCTGTGACTTGGAGTCTCCCACGAAGTCCACTGTGGCCTCCCAGCCACGGCTCACTGGGTTTCCACAAACGAAAGCCAGCTGCAGGGGAGTCCAACCCCAGTCACCCCTAGAAGCTGACCTGTCTTTGCCTGTGTCTTTCAGAACGTATTGGTGGGGATGGAAGAGGAAGACTGGTTCATCGGAGAGGAGGTTCAGAAAAAACGAGGGAAACTCATCCTGCAATATCCCATTTCTCGAGCAACGATGACCAACTGGGACAACATGGAGAAGGTGGGTACAGCTTCTGCCAGGCAGGACGTGTTCATAGGCCTCCCTCGCCATGTCCAGCTATGAGACGGGGGTGCAGGCCTTCCTGACCCAGACTCTGCTCTGAGGGCTGAGGGGGATGATGGATAAAAAGTCCTCAGTCCTGGCTGGGCGCGATGGCTCGTGCCTGTAATCCCAGCACTTTGGGAGGCCGAGGCAGGTGGACCGCTTGAGTGCAGGAGTTTGACTCCAACCTGGGAAACAGAGTGAGAACCCATGTCTGCAAAAAATTAAAAAATAATCTGGCTGTGGTGGTGTGCCGCTGTGGTCCCAGCTACTGGGGAGGCTGAGGTGGGAGGATTGCTCGAGCCTGGGAGGTGGAGGCTGCAGTGAGCTGTGACTGCACCCCTCTGCTCCAGCCTGGGCAACGGAAGGAGACCCTGTCTCAAAGCAGACAGACAAAAAGCAAAAGAGTCTTCAGTCCCAGCAGTAAGGAGTGGTAAGTATGGTGAACTTGCAGCTCCCTCACTTAGTAACCGGTTCTGGCTAGGGCCTCCATGTGCATTTGGACAGGCCGTGCACTGCCTTAGAGGATGTACCTGTTAGTTACTGTGTACCTGTTAGTTACTGTGTCCCTGTTCCAGCCACAGACAAGGCAGCTTCAACAGCAGGAATTCATTGCCTCACCATCCTGGAGGCTGGAAGTCTAAGGTCAAGACGTGGGCCGAGCTGGTTCCTTGCAGGGCCGTGCGTGTCCTGGGCCTCTCTCCTGGTGACTGTCAGTCTTTGGCACCCCTTGGCTCACAGGTGTGTCACCCTGACGTCTGCCTTCAGGTTCACGTGGCATTCTCCGTGTCTGTGTCCACATTTCCTCCTTCCTGTGGGATTGGAGACCCACCCTCCTCTTAACTGATTGCATCTGCAACAACGCTGTTTCCAAATAAGGTCCCATTCAGACGTATGGGGGCTAGGACTTCAAACTATGAGTTTTGGTGCGACACGGTTCAACTCATCACAATGTTCTAATGCTGCCTTCACACATTTAGCCCCAAGTGTGGAGTCTCAAAATGCCAGTGGTCATCTCTCTCAGTTTTGTGGGCAGGAATCTGGGAGTGACTCCTCAGGCTGGTTCGGGCTCGGGGTCTCCAGTGGCTGCCACAGCTCAGGGGCTGTGTCGGCTGCAGGCTTGACTGGGGCTGGAGGAGCCCCTTCCAAGGCGGCAGTATCAGGTGGCCGCGGGGTGCTTCCTCTGCACGGGGGTCACCCTCCAGGGCTGCTCGATGGCCTGCCAGCCTGGCGGTTGGCTTCCCCCATGGGAAACTATGGAAAAGGCCAAGGTGGAGGCACCAGGTCACTGTTACTTCTGCCACATTCTGTTGGTCACAGAAGCCAGTCCTGATTCCATGTGGGAAAGGTGTGCACAGGGCATGACTTCCAGGGGCTGAGGGCCTTGGGGCCATCTTGGCAGGGGCAGTGGGAGCACTGTTCACAGGTGGCTCCCGGTGTGACAGGGAATGCAG